ATAAAAATGGGAATATTTCAGTATTTAAAAAACTTTAAAAATCAGAGGTATCCTTGAAAATTGAATAGTGTAATTATTTTGTGGAAACAAGTTGTTATAATCTGTACATCAATTTCCTGACAAAATGAGATGCAAAAAGTGAGTTAAGACATATTTAAGGAGTGTGAAAAGGCTATTAATTAATATTTTATTGCTCTGTAGGTGCCACATATTAAAAGATCACCACAAATGATAGATTTACATCCAAAATGTACAACATTTAACTGCAAAAGACACATCTACAATGTATCCATTTTGGGGTGTGGGCTCTTTTGGAAGAAATGTCATAGGATTACATGTTTGGCCATAAACAAAAAGTCCTAAAAATCCTTGAAATCTTAAATGTAACTATTCGTTGGTGCAAAATAAAATGCCTGGTTATAATTCAAGCACAAAATCCAATTACTGCTAATTTGGAGTCAATAAATTTTCAATTGAATATTCAAATATCATGTTCAAGAAAAGAGGTGGGGTGGGGAGGGGGAGCCAGTCTAAATGAAATGAAGACAGAGAAATTTCTCTGCAAACACATTGATTTTAGTTTCTTGAGAAGGGAAATGCATTAATTTCAGGTTTTTAAAGATTAAAATTGTGTTAAATCAGAGAGACATAGTAGCAAAATGCAGTTCACTCATGTTTTGAAAATTCTAACATACCTTAGCAGTATATAATTAGACTAAATTTCTTAATTTTCAAATTTCTGTGAAAATATTGATGCATTTTCAATATCTGACAAACACATGGATCCTTTCCATTTTCCAATGCGAGACATTTTGGTTCATTTTGCAACAGATGAATAATTAAATTTTGACAGTAACATTAGTGGTAATCATGATTTTTTTGGCAAAATTGAGTGAAATTATGATACTTTCTTCCCGTCTAACCTTTATGATGCAGAAAAAGTAAAAATTATACATTAAAATATTTTCAACTAATTTTGAAAAGTAAATAAACACTGAAAATCACAAAATTTAGACTAAAATCAAAAATTCACCTCCCAAATTTGTCAAATATTTTTGAAATTTGACCACTTCACTTTTTTTATTATCAAAATGTCATATATCACATTTTCTGACAATTTGGAGACTGTATCATCAAATTTAGGTCCCTCATCCACTCACTGTCAGGTTGTTTATATACTGGAGACAGACCACCATTAGTTTCCACATAGACTTCAACATTAATTCTGTCCTCTTTGCCCGGCTCCAACTTTTCCCCAAATTTTTGTTGGGCTGAATGTTTTTCACTACAGACAGATAAACAAATGGTCATGTCTTTGCACCAAAATTTGTATGAGGTTGACCAACAAAATTTTGAGATACACAAACTTGAAGAAGCATTCTAAAAACACATAACTATTCGCCGTACACATCACCGTAACCAACCCTGTTATCCTTCTGCCTCTAAATCATGAATAATTACCAAAACCTGGCAGAAAATGTTAATTCAAACCCCCTTCAGCCTTTCTAGACAAAAAAATCAACAAAAATCGGCATGCAAAAGGGGAGAAAAGAGACCGAGAGAGAATTGCAATAAATAGACAAACTACAATTTGTGGGTACCTAGATGGTGAAATTTAATGGTGGTCTGCCTCCAAAGCCCTCCATATTGGTGGAATCATATTGAACCCCCCCCCCCCCCCGTTCCAGAAAAATCAGTCAAGCCGTTTAAAAACGATAAGAAACACGAGCATCGCTTACACTGCAATATATTTCCATATTCCTGCTTTGATTGATAGGGTACTTTTTAAAATGAAGAGAATGAAATATGAAATCGCCGTAATATGACAAGAGACAAAGAAGGCTAGGCGTTGGGTTTGTTTTGCCAAATTTACAAACAAAATATTAACAAAAAAGTGGGTGTGACACCGCCCCAGGGGGTCAGGGCATGCACCAAAATAAATAGTTGCTGTCTTTACGGTACAAGGAATAAATATGCAAAGTTCCAAGATGATCCATTCAGAATTGCAGCCTGTAGACAATAAATACAAAAATTGGACGTGGCTCTGCCCTTGGGGTTTGGATATGGAACAATATAAATAGGTACCACCCTGTTATTGAAATGATTGATATGCTGAATTTGAACAAAATCTGTTAATTATTGCAACCTAAAGTGTATTTACAGATAAAAACTAACAAAAAAGTAGGTCTGATACCACACACCTGGGGGTCAGTACATGCACCGAAATAAAGTTGCTATCCTTACGGTATACAGTAAAGAGGGTGTGGCACTGCCGAAAGGGCAGGGGGTGGGGATGGTGCACCAACATCAATAGTTGCCGTCCTTAGGGTATAAGGAATAAGTATACATAGTTCCAAGATAATCCATTCAGAATTGTGACCCTCTGGCGCTAAAGGCATAAATTGGGAGTGGCTCTGCCCCTGGGGATCAGGCCATGCAGTTGTCATCCTTAGGCTATAAGGAATACATATCCCATGTTCAAAGACGTTCCATTAAGAATCGTGGCCGGTAGGTAACACACAGAGACACAAAGAAAAGATCGGTGTGGCCCTGGGGGTGGGGTAATCATCTTTAGGGTATAAGGAATAGGTATGCAATGTTTCAGAATCTGTTAAGAATTGCCCCCTGTAGGGTTTAAGGAACAAGTGTGCAAAGTTTCACGACAATCCATTCAGACACACACACAGACAGGGGCATAATACGTACACATTATGAATGTAGACGTATAAAAAGAATTATTAAGATCCAAAGAACAAACATGCAATGTTTCAAGAAATGCGTCCTGTAGTCAACAAACAAACAAATACAAGAAATGGGCGTGGTTCTGCCTCTGGGGGTCGGGCGTGCACTAAAAACAATAGGGATCATCATTAGGGTATAAGGAAAAAGTGTGCAAAGTTTCACGACAATCCATTCAGACACACACACAGACAGGGGCGACAGCATAATACGTACACATTATGAATGTAGACGTATAAAAAGAATTATAAAGATCCACCAAAAACTCGCAGAATTAGAATGAGAACTAATTCAACCGAATTAAATCGACCATAAACTGGCCAAGTCATAACGACCAGGCCTCACTTCCTCTCAGATGTTAATGATTTTGTCAATAATCTTAAACAGAAAAGAATTATTACCTTAGTTGTAATAAGTATTCATCTGGGCAAAATTTGACATTATAAAATTTGCACAGAACCTTTGTTTACAAACCAATTTTGATCAAACTTTCAAAATAAGCATCAAATGACCTACTTAATCTTTTGCCATCAACATCTGACCTGATTTCAAAGTTTTTGAAAATGAAGAAAAAAATTGTTCTGTAAACAACTTTGTCAGTACGAAAAACTTCAAAGACAAATTCGAAATTTTGACATTTTCAAATACCATAAAAATGACCCTCAGCCAAGCTATCGAGAAATGTATTAACAAAAAATAAATAAAAACTAGAATTCCAAAGAGTGCTGACATGTTTCGGTAAGACAGGTCACGCCTTGTCACGTCAACACTCAAGTTACACCATGCATTATTGAGTATAGTATTCTAAAGCAATTGTATTTATATCTTTTTACCCACCTACACCATGGATAATAAGGGATCTTAAATGTAGTAATATAATATTCACTAATATTATACACATGTTCCCTAGCAAAGGTACCGTACAGAAAAGCAGGGCGTTTAACCCCATTTTATTTTATTTTAATGTCGGCTAAGGTCAAAGACAAGTTAAGATTCAGCGTTCTTGGATTAAAAACTTAGAAGGTTCAACACTCGTAGCCACTATCAGACTTTGCTTGCCATAACCTCCCACCACCTATTTCAGCCCACAGAAGCAAATACGCCCTGAAACTTTCAAATCATTGCTTTAAAAGTAAGGCCTGTATCAAGAAAATATATGCTGCTTTTTAATTGCCCTAAATTCTATTTACTTTTTACCTACCTTACAAAATGGATAATAAGGGATTAAGAACAATAATACCATATTACTATTATTGACACAGTAGCCGTTATCAAGCATACACAATTTAAAAACCAGCAGAGGCAGTTGATAATAAGGTCATCTCAGAAAAAACATGGCCTTTACCTGCTACATTCGTGAATAAGTATTTAGTTAACTAAAATATGAGTAAGGTGATCATAAGAGAAAAACATCGGGTATGAATAATACACTGTGAATACAGGGGATAACAGATTATATAACTAAGTTAACATGTTTTATAAACGAAGATACACATCGCCTCCGACATGCAAAGCACGGACATCAGAGAGAGTAACATATTTGCATCTACAGTTGATTCATTTTCAATATCTTTGATCTGTAGGTCTATTGAATTTACTATTTTTACTTACGAGTATAGAACTTTTTGAAATTGTTTGTCAGTAGATGTCAGGGTCATCTTTTATGCAATCAAGATTATCTTGTCCCAAAGCATCGACCAATGAAATTGATGAGCTCTGCTTAGCTTCTGCTTGAAACTTTAATCATTGAACTCAGTCAAGACATTCACCTAATGAACATCTACATCAAGTTTAAACATTCTACCTCAGTTAAAAGCAGTTGTTATGTTCCAAAGTCTCGGCCAATCAAATTGCTTATCGCTCTACTTACCCTGAGCAGAAAATGCTCATTATCGAACTTTGTCAAGGTATTGATGTAATGAAACTCTACACCAAGTTTCATCACTTTCACTTAATTAGAACTAAAGTTATAGTGTCCCAAAGCATCAACCAATCAAATTGCTTATCTCTGCTTACCCTAAGCAGAAAATGCTCATCTTAGAAATCCGTCAAGGTATTGACCTAATAAACACCTACACCAAGTTTGAACATTCTAGCTCAATTAGAAAGAGAGTTATTGTGTCCCAAAAAGTGTGACGGACAGACAGACGGACAAACCCATTTTAATAGTCCCCTGCTTTCTTCGAAAGGCGGGGGGGAAAAAAATAATTCTTTGTAATATTTATACTTTATGAAATTAGATACATCTACCATACTAATACCTTTTATATAACATCCAATGATCACGTAGAAAAGATTGAGAAGAAATAATGTTGTCTAATGTAATCAATACACCCAGCAAATCAGCTATATGAGAATATACTGGCTGAAATAAACACATCAAAATATATTGTACACCATAAGCTCAAAGCACATGATAATGTCATAGGCAATTTAGATATTTAGTGGGATATCATCATATATATCAAACTCAGTCGACTCCAGAGGTGTGATCCAAAGACTACTTGATGGCCATTTCTGCATGTTGCTGTGAAAATCCACTCTGTAAATATGTGGTTGTTCATGTTTTCCATATGACTCACAAGAAATCACACTTATCCAGTTTGATACATAATTATTTTTGATGGGATGTACTGTAATAGTAACTCTTTAATCAAATTAAATTTTAAAACATAACAGTTATCATGTACAATAGTATAAATGTAAACAATTTATACTTCAATATAAAATACTTACTGTAAAATGTACATCAGTAACATCAATCAGTTTAGGTCCATTTCTACAAACATACATAATATAAATAATAACTTCAATAATCAGTTATTTATTAACATTGAATACTGTCAGCATGGATTTTAGCAGTAATTTTGCGACATAATCTTATTATTTGATCAATGCAAAAGTTATATCATATAGTTTGAACCACATTTATATTTCTTTACTATATTATAAGCTTTCAAAATTTTTATAGTAAACTTAATTTCATGTAGGTCTTCAGTCATCTTATTAATGATTTTTTTATGAAATAATATAGCTTATTTTAGAGATAATTTGTGTTATGACTGGATATTAAATTTTTTAAAAATCAAGTGCTGCTCAATGTAAGAAAATTGCTACATGAAATACACTTGTAGGGCAAAAAATTGCTCTGGAAATAAAAGAATTTCTACACAAAAGTTTACAAGTTTCTAATAACAAGCAGTTGCCATGCAAGATATGCCCACAATTGCAAGAGATGGACAGAGAATAAGCTAAAAAAAAGCAATTTTTCGTATAAACAGGGACCATAATCCAGGATGTTACTCTCCGACATGCGTCAATATTGACAGGAATCTACATCTTTGGGAAATATACATATATCTTAACTTTCATCGAAATCAGATAAAAATTGTGACATTCTTGGTATTAAATGTTGATTATACTATTTGTGTAGTATTTCATGTAATTCGAACTCAACCATACTTATGGTGTAACGGTGATATATTTGAACGTTTTTTAAAATCTGATAAAAATTGTGATCTGTCGAGGGTCAACAAGCTAAAAACGCTGTTTTTCTTAAATACAGGAAGTTACCGTCCGATATGCGCGAATATAGAAAAGAACGGACATCTTTGGGATATAAACAAGCTAAAAACGTGATTTTTCATACAATCAGGGACCAAAATCCATGAAGTTTACATTCCAATACATATGGAAGCAAGCTTTTTGGGATATAAACCTATATTTCAAGTTCCGTTAAAAATTCTGACAAATTGTGGACAGACAGGGGCAACAACAATATACATCCACATAAAAATGTGGGCATATAAAAAGCATTAGTTATATGTATACCTATATGCGTTGTGTAATGACGACAGTTGTTGACAAACATTTCTGATGACATCATATGATCTCGATACAAAACAAGACAATTCCTGAAAAATATTTATTTCTATACATATGGCTTGTTTTTAGAGTACTTATAATTTTGTATAGTTATATATTGAAAATCAATGTAAAAACAAGTGGTTGCCATGCAATATACGCCCACATTTTGCAATATGATCTCGATACAAAACAAGACAATTCCTGAAAAATATTTATTTCTATACATATGGTTTAATTGTAGAGTACTTATAATCTTGAACAGTTATATATTGAAAATCAATGTAAAAACAAGTGGTTGCCATGCAATATACGCCGACATTTTGCAAGAGATGGACAGAGAACAAGCTAAAACAAGTGGTTGCCATGCAATATATGCCGACATTTTGCAAGAGATGGACAGAGAACAAGCTAAAACAAGTGGTTGCCATGCAAGATACGCTCACATTGTGTAAGAGATGGACAGAGAATAAGCTAAAAAAAAACAAGCCAACAGTGAGGCTGATGTCCCCCGCCGAAATCAAAAAAATAAATAGATGACATACATAATTAATTGCACATTTATCTTTTTCAAAAGTATCGAGCAATCAAATTGATTATCTATGCTTAGTGACTAAGCATAGTCATCATTCTTCATCAGTTAGAATCAAAGTTATCTTGTCCCAAAGCATCAACCAATAAATTACTTAGCTCTGTGTAGCTTTAGCACAGGGAACAAAATGACCGGGTTCGCATTGCACTTTGCAATTCATTTCCGATGTTACTGCGAGTCAATGGAAAAACTGATTAGCAAAATTTTGGTTGAGAATCTCTAAAGTTTCAAATCATTTTTATCAGATATAGTACCATTTATTTCAACATTTAGTGCCTCAAAATTCAAATTGCAACTAGAACTGCGATGCAGTAATGACGGGTTTCACCGGTGCCACGTTACTTTAAACATATGTCACTTCCGGTACTAATGAAACCATTAAACAGGTTTCCACATAAGCATTGCACACATCAAATAAAATGGACGCCGAATCAACCAAATCCAGCAATATCAATTCATTTTATACATTTGTTACATGTAAGTGTACAGTACTTCCGGTGATAATGAAAATGTTCAATTAGTTCAATCAGAAATGGCATAAGGCATCACATGGTGAAAATTGTATGTAAATCGAATAATAATTGCCACTTTTATAGACCAAAAACCTTGAAAATTGACTTGTAGAAACCGTCTACTTCTCTGCAACCGTACAAGTTAGAAACCATTTTGTGGTATCTGTATGATTGTATGGGTTCAATCTATTTGCTGATTGGAATCAAATATCATAATTTTAAAAACATTACAAATCAGACTCATTTGAATAAAATATCTGTTTTGAAGGCTAAAAATACAGTTTTTGCCAAAATCACGTTACTTCCGGTGATAATGAAAATCTTAAATTACTTGTATGAAATCGTAAATGACATTAGGTATCACACAGTGAAAATTTCATGAAAATCGAATAATAATTGACACTTTTATGGACAAAAAACCTTGAAAAGTGACCTGTTGAAAATTGCCTATTTCTCCGCAACTGAAAAAGTTAGAAACCATTTTGTGATATCTATATGATCGTATGGGTTCATTCTTTTAGTTGATTAGAATCAAATATCAAAATTTTAAAAAAAATAACAAATATGACTCATTAGAATAAAATATCTCTTTTAAAGGCTAAAAATACATTTTTTGCCCATTTGCCCAAATGATATGTCATTTCCGCTGACATTGAAAATGTTAAATTGGTTTGACCTAGTCAAACTTAGCATACCACTTCAAACGGTAAAAAAAAATGAAAATCGAATAATAATTGACTTCTTTACAGGCAAAATAACGTGAAAAGTGACGCATTCAAAAATTGCTTATTTCTCGGCAACCGCTCGTATTACAAACTAATTTTCACATACATTCTCTTCGTATGGATTATTGCTACGAGTTTTTAAAAGTTACGAAGAAATATTTTAAAATATGACGACGCTGAATGGGTTGTAAATAGCTTAATTTTACACTGTTTTTCACATTTACATTGCGCATCCTTTTGGTAATATCAAATTTTGAAAAAATTGCATTTGCTTTCAAAAAGTGGTACCGAACTGTCAAAATTATAGTTTTTGTTAAAATTATGTCATTTCCGATGCCGACAGGTAACTCTATCCGTAACAAAAAAAATGATATTTTGGAAAAAGAAGCATATGAACTTTGTTTTAAACAAATCGAACAATAAATAATCAATCTAGGACCAAAAAACTGAATTAGCCAATGGCGGCTAATGCAAATTACTGAGACAAAAATTGTTGACATTTTTGCTCAAATCAGATGACCCTTTAGCCCTGGATATAATACCATAAAGAAATATTCATTAATAAAAAAGAAATTTTGTAAAAATATAAATTTTCAAAATTTGGCGCCTAATATCTCCCAAGATTCATCGAAAATCAAAAATCTAAAAACCCGTAGCTATGTGCCTTGTCTCTGGCTATGTCAAAATGTATCAAATGTTAAAATCCGGCAATTATTGATAATATTACGGCAATATTTAGAAAAAAACAACTTCGGTGATTTCGGACATTTCGCATTGTCGCAGAATGTTCGAAATAGATTTCATCTCTAAGTCATGCCATCTTTCCTGTAAAATCAAAGATGTCGGGTTGATCCGACAAGTAGTTTCTGAGATATACTCAAGTGAAAAATAAAACGGCCAATTTGTTGGATGATTGTTTTTTTGGTAAAAACAATCATCACTAGAACTGCGATGCAGTAATGACGGGTTTCACCGGTGCCACGTTACCCTATACATATCACTTCCGGTACCAATGAAACCATTAAACAGGTTTCCACATAAGCATTGCACACATCAAATAAAATGGACGCCGAATCAACCAAATCCAGCAATATCAATTCATTTTATACATTTGTTACATGTAAAGCTCGGTTCATACTACATCCGTATACATAAACGTATCCGCATCCGTATCGGCACCCGCATCTGTATCCGCATTTTACCGTTCAAATAGAAAACGCGAAAACGTCCGGCTTTCAAGGCTGAATTGTCTGTCAGAGATAACATATTGTCATTTGCAATCATGGAGTCTGACAGTGACACAGAGGAAGTCTTTCTTTTGTATTTGTGGACCCAAAGACGAAAGAGAAAAAAGAGAGTAGGGGTCCATGAACTGTTACAAAGAAGAAAGAAATATGGAGAATACCACAACCTGGTGCAAGAATTGTATTTTCATCCGCACAAATTCAGACAATATTTCCTCTGTCTTGTCCATGTTGTGTTCTTCACAAGACAACACAAATCCACAGCACACAAGGCCAGGCTTTTCTTGGAATGGATTGAGTTTCTATTTGGGGAGATGATGTAAAAAGGGGAAAGTACTCGCTGATTGGCTAAAGCTCGGCTCACTAGCCGAAATGCTGCACGCACTTTACAAAAATACGCTCTGGGAGCAATCAATCTGGCTTAACGGACGCAGTTGTTTTTGTGCGCAATACATGCCGGATTCTATTTGAACCCTTTCTCTAAAAGTAACTAAAGTATACCAGTACGTATTCACACACGTATTTACAGATACGGATGTAGTATGAACGGACCTTAAGTGTACAGTACTTCCGGTGATAATGAAAGTGTTCAATTAGTTTTATGAAATCAGAAATGGTATAAGGCATCACATGGTGAAAATTTTATGTAAATCGAATAATAATTGCCACTTTTATAGACCAAAAACCTTGAAAAGTGACTTGTAGAAAATCATCTATTCCTCTGCAACCGTACAAGTTAGAAACCATTTTCTGGTATCTGTATGATCGTATGGGTTCAGTCTATTAGCTGATTGGAATCAGATATCATAATTTTAAAAACATTACAAATCAGACTCATTTGAATAAAATATCTGTTTTGAAGGCTAAAAATACAGTTTTTGCCAAAATCACGTTACTTCCGGTGATAATGAAAATCTTAAATTACCTGTATGAAATCGTAAATGGGATTAGGTATCACACAGTGAAAATTTCATGAAAATCGAATAATAATTGACACTTTTGTGGACAAAAAACCTTGAAAAGTGACCTGTTGAAAATTGCCTATTTCTCCGCAACTGAACAAGTTAGAAACCATTTTGTGATATCTATATGATCGTATGGGTTCATTCTTTTAGTTGATTAGAATCAAATATCAAAATCTTAAACAAACACTAAATACGACTCATTTGAATCAATTATTTGTTTCGAAGGCTATAAATACAGTTTTTGCCCAAATTTCGTCATTTCCAGTGACATTGAAAATGTTAAATTGAGTTGAACTAGTCACAAATGACATTATGCATCAAATGGTGTCACTTTTATGAAAATCCAATAATAATTGACTCTTTTACAGGCACAATAGCGTAAAGAGTGACTCATGCAAAATTGACCATTTCTCGGCAATGCGCATATTACAAATAAATAGATTATTGCTACGAGTTTATGAAAGTTACAAAGTAATATTTTAAAATATGAAAACGCTGGATGGATTGTAAATAGCTTAATTTTACACCTTTTTTCACATCTTAATCGAAATAGCCTGAAAACGGAATCGAAATTAAAAAAACTGGACCCAACATTTTGTGCGCCTTTAAAGGGCACACCCTTTCAGTTATACCAGATTTGAAAAAAATAATATTTGCTTTCTGTCAAAATTGTAGTTTTTTGTAAAATTACGCCACTTCCGGTGCCGACAGATAACTCTATCGGTAACAAAAAAAAATGACAATTGAGACAACAGAGCATATGAACTTTGTTTTATACAAATCGAACAATAAATAATTAATCTAGGACTGAAAAACTGAATTAGCCAATGGGGGCCAAGGAAAATTACCGAGACAATATTTTTTCAGAGGACTCGTTATATTTGTGTAAAACACGACTAAAAAAAAATTCACAAACAAAAAAGTTTATTGTAAAAATTTTAATTTTCTAAATTTGGCGCCTAATATCTGCGAAGATTTGCCGAAAATCAAAAATCAAAAGTAGCGTAGCTAT